AAACAGAAAATATTACTGCAAATAACTCGAAACATAAGAACAATTTAGTGAATAAGATAGGAGACTGGTAGACTTAATTTTTCAGATTCAATTTATAGATGTTCACCAGTCACCTGCTGTTTTGACAAGTTACTTACCAACTTGTGCTGCCATTTCTCCGTAAATTTATCCCCTAAGATGAGGATAATTCTTGCAAATTGTGTCACAAGCATTTTGAAAGGAACCATGAGTTATTGTGTAATGCTCTTGAAATTCCTCAGATGTAGGGTCCTACACAAAGTAAAGTATTATTATACATCTCTCTAACAGTAGTCATCTGTTTGCATTATGATTTTTTCCCCTATCCTTGACACTGTGTTCTTGGGCACTAACCTTCCTCAAAGTAAAGTGTCGAAAGTAAGCCTCCATTCCTGACCCAAGTCATTACTTTTTTCAAGTCTTCCTATCATCCACATCTTTCTCAGCCTTAGAAGGTATCATGAAAATTAGGAGTTATAAAACATAATAAGCTTCTCTGGTATTATATGCTTTGGTTCAGTAAGAAATATGTGGGATAATTTGTTATTTTTAATCTGCTCTTAAGTGAATAATTTTATTTCACATATTCACACATTTTCCTATGTTACTTTTTAAATTTCAACTATATTTTAAGAAGTTCATTTATAGATTGATGTTTTATGAACAGAGAGAGCAAGTCAGAAAAATGAAGAAGCAAAAAGGCAAGCAGTAATTATTGCTATGTGACCAAAATGCTTTCACTGGACTGACTCAGCAGCAGAAATCACCATTTTGGAATACAATAAACAGAATCAATGCTCATGATCTTCTGTAGAAGAGTTGAGCATAAGCTACAACAAATTTTATCATACTAATGAAAACTTTATCTTTTGCTGACTTTGCTAATCAAGTTAGTCTTCAGTTCAGGAATAAAATACATATAAATGAATTTTTAGTTTGTGTTGGTACGATATTATATCTTGAAAACAGAACTCTCAACCTTCTTATACAGCTCCTAAAATGGCTTCTTTCTGAATTTATATATGGGAAGGGAGGAGATAATGAAACATGATATCTTCGTTGTACAACTTATAAAAGAGAAAAATTTTAAGGTTTTTTTTTTTAAACCCTCAGAATTACATTAAAATGTTGATGGAAGCTAGTTTCCTCCTAGGTGAATATTCTTTTATCTTCTAAATATGGCAGGGTAAAACCTTTGTGGGATAAAGGTAAAACCACATGATTTAGCATGGTCCCTTAACATTTGCTAGCCTGTTAATTGTTAGTCTCTTAATCTCATTTTACTTGTTTCCTCATTTGTAAAATGGGGACCAAGACACCTGCCCTAGATACCATACAAGATTGTTCTGAGGATTAAATGAGATAATCTACTAAAAGAACTCTGTAAATCGCAAAAAAGCTATCAAAACAGTCATTTTTAAGAGAAGTGTATCACATTATTTACAAATTTATGGTCATATAATATTTAGTACTGCTTCTAACATGAAACAAATGGAAATAGATGTGCAAAATATTAGGACCATGGTTACCAAATAATACCTATGGTTGAATATACAGTGAATAAATGATCTTGTTAAGAAAAGTACATTTTCTATACTTTATCTTAAAATCTTCAGAAGTGAATTTGGAAGGAAATATAATAATAAAACAATTTATTTAGATGGACTATTCTAGCCTTCTAAAGATCAAATATATTTACCTGTTACCTCTGAATTAAGAAACTGAGAGCAAATAGCTAAAAAAAAAAAAAAAGTTTTAAAAAATTCTTATGAAGGAAAAATACACACATGAAAGTGAAATAGATGTTCACTTCTCAGGAAATAATCAGATAGAGCTAGTAGTGATACCAAGGGATATACATACACGAGGGGACGGAAATGAACACGGACACAATCTGTACTCTTGGTATAATAAAGGAGATCAGTGAACCCTTCAGATGTGGTTCCTAAAATTTTCAGAATGAAAACCTCTCCCAATAGGCCACAGGTCAAATCTACTTACTACACTGTAAGGCTGAGTCCTCCAGTAGGTTATGATAAATCTCAAGAATAGCTTATCCTTAATGAATGAAGCCACCTGCTTCTCTTTCACATATATTACAGAATATTTAGTATGCTTACTTACAAAGCCAGTCTCTACAAGGAAACAATTCCTAGCTCCCTTCTGTTTGCTTTCTTTCTGTCAGTTTAAAGCTCTGACAAAGTGAATTTTATTACATGGTCCTAGAAATTCAATCAGACTCTTTCAATTACCAGAAAACTTTAAAACCAATAAAATAAGAACACCTTACATTTTAATTCAGTCCTCCAACTCACAAGTTAAAAAAAAAAAAGTTGGAGAGGGAGTACATTCAAGTAATTAAAGAATTATACTCAAAGGAAATAATTTTAGCTAAAAAACATTAAAAGTTTCACTCAGAATACCTTAAATCAAAACTAAGGTAAAAAGAAAAGTCCCTATCAGAGTACCTACCTCCTTTTGACTTTCTCCTACCTCTGGAACCCAGATATACTTGAATGCATCACTGAACCTGGACTTCCAGGAAAAAACTTTTCTCAAGATAAGGATCCTCTCCTATAAAACTAAACTACTTTAGCTCCAGATTTATTTTCTGGTTATTTATGTGATCAACAGTTGAATTAAAATTAAGACTTTATTTTCTCCCAGAAATCTTTATCCCACAATGACATTTCCCATCAATTAAATTTCCTAGTTTCAAGGTATATATCATATCAACTTTCAATTCTTTCCAGCTATTTCATTTATGTATGTCTTAATTACCAACCCAGCCTCTTAATTTTTCAAAGACAAAGTTCATGCCTTTCATTTTTCTATTCCATAAATGTACCCTGGACAATGAGGCAATCCTAAACAGGTAATGTAAGTTAGGTAAACCCACCCTCCCAATTTTATATTACCAAATAATGCTTTCGAGATGAATCAATACAGTGATATAAATGTCACAATGTAATTATCACAATGTCAATAGGACCACAAAAAACCTCTTCTGGCTCGTTAAGTTTCCCAGAATCTTACCTACAGAATTAAAAGCTGCTAAAGACACACACTACTATTGCAAAGTATCTACCCTTGTCCTGGACACAAAGCAGGTGCTAAATAACATTTAAAAATTTTAAACTTTAGGGGCGCCTGGGAGGCTTAGTCGGTTAAGCGTCCGACTTTCGCTTAAGTCATGATCTCGCGATTCGTGGGTTCGAGCCCTGCATCGGGCTCTGTGCTGACTGCCAGCTTAGAGCCTGGAGCCTGTTTCAGAGTCTGTGGCTCCCTCTCTCTGACCCTCCCCTGCTCACGCTGTCTCTCTCTCTCTCTTCCCCCACTAGAAATAAATAAAAAACATTAAAAAAAATTTAAAAATTCTAAACTTTAGTAAATTTCAGTAACTATATTAGCAATTTCTATGTGCTGGCTTTGTACTTTTTATCTGCCCTGCAGCCTCTCAGTAATTACTAAAGCAATACAGAGATATGTTCTAATATTTCTGTGGAGCATGTTAAGTATAAGAAAAGCAACAGCCCCCAAACCATGAAAATCTCAACTTGAGCCAGCATTTCAAGCTAAACAAAAAAGTTGTAAAGAATCCATCTGCCTCTGAAGCAGTGATAACAAATACATAACAATAAATTACCACTCATGTCTACATGACAACCTCAATACCTAAAATTATGAAATTCTAATAAGATTCCAGAAAATATTCTTAGTGAGGTAGAATACAAGACTGCTGCCACTTTACCTTGAGTTCTGCGATGATTAAGCCTACTGTGTTAAGGATTACTACCATTCATCCAAAAGACTTACATTACCAATTAAGGCAGAAAGAAAAAGGTTAAGACCCTACCAACAAAGAAAGGATGAAAACTATACAGTATTTACAAGATAGAAAGGTGAGGCTTGGCATGCTGGTGAGATGATATGAAAGATGAATAATATGCCTTAATTAATATTTAATATCTTACTATTTTACACCTACATTAACCTCTCAAAAGTAGACTAACAACAGCAATCACTTAAATAATGAAGTGGTAAAGAAGAATAATCGCCATAGAAAATGCTTAAGTGCCATTATTGTTGAAGTTAAAAGAAGAATCTGTAAATCAGTATAGCTGTGGTCTGTCTTATCTGAGTTTAACATCTTAAGAATTAACTTTTAATAATCATAATTGAGTCTTCAATTTTTTTCACAAGCTATCTATAGTTTCAGTGTATAGAATCATCATAATTGGGAGCAAAATTCACATAACAATATTATTTCTAAGTGTGGTAATACCTTATTTTAAAATATGTACACATATTTAGGAAAAGAGAACATGAAATGTGACCAAATTCCTCGAAATTCTCATTACACTAAAAATTATTTTACATTTGGCTTACATGGCTCCTACAAAATCAGGACATATTATAGTCACAAAAATTTTAATAGCTGATGCTCCTACTTGAAAGTAGGAGATTAGGGGAATGAAAGATTCTTCAAACAAAGCCAAATAAAATTATGTATTTAAAATACTAGAGTAGGGAGAACAATAGAAAAATTAGGATGTATCTCAGGCAAGCTTTCATCTTATTTTTTCTCTCTGATGTATAGAAAACATAGTAAATTATGCATTTAAAAATCTGCCAAAGTGGCTGAATAGTACTTATTAAACAGGACCTATATTCTTTATATGCTCTATACCTATATATTCTATGCCAAAGAAAAACTGTATTCTACACTTTTACATCACCACAATTATGTTGTGAAACCAAAACTTCATACAATAAGGGTTTATAACAGTAATAGTTTAAAAAAATAGAAACCACAAAATAAGTACTCAGAAAAATGCAAACATAAAGGATATATTTAACTCCTGGTCTGCTTTTAAACTTTGACAAAACAATATGGGTTTAGGACTAGAGAAATTATTTGACATTTCAGACTTACAAGACAAAATTATTAGAAATGGCAAACAAAAAAGTTTTCAACTTACCTGGTTTCTTTCTGGATTTTTCATGACCTAGCTGTCCTAGATCATTACATCCACATGTGTATACTGTTCCATCATCCAGAACAAATACAGTATGTCTGAGTCCACATCCCACATCTCGGACCTTCTTATTTATAAAAAAGTCACTTTTTCTGGGCTCTAGTACAATTTCTTCGTCAATTCCGCCTAAACCGAGCTGTCCAAAAGATGCATTTCCCCAGCACAACATGTTTGTAATTCTTCTGGTCTTCCAGTTTCAATAAAAAACTTCCGTCTGAAACACTGGAAAGTTGGAGGTATCCCTATGTCTGAGGAGATTAAAAAAAAAAAGTTAATATGACTTCAAAGGAAACATGATGTGTAATTGCTCTTTCAAGTGCTAGGCTACAATAATCACTATATAGTAAACATGAAATATATTTTATAATATGCTACATAAGTATCATTCAGTTTCAAAAACCAATCAGTTGTATTTTTAAAAATACAGCATACAGCAACATTTACATTAAATATTTTACTCTTCATGATTCTTTGAGAAATTTAAAACATAGTGACTAGTTTTGACCTTTTGCTATCCCGTGATAGACTAATAAAAATATTAAGTACCTCAATGAAATTCATTTTCGCTTAACTTAAAATAATTTCATCCTGAGCAAGCTTATGTGTAATAAAAATAAAACCAATAATGGAAACTTTAAACCCCCCACAATTTAACTCATTATTCACATAATAGGCCCTGGAGAAAAGTATGGTTCTCTGTCAAACCTCAATCTCAAAGACAATCGCCTCTGACCTCACCACTTAATTTTAAAACTAAATCTACATACATAGTTACATACAAAAGAAAATACACAGTTTAAGTATAAAATCGTCTCCCCAACTCAACATTTTCTATTATCAGTGGTGTAAGTATAAAATCCTCTCCCCAATTCAACATTTTCTATTATGAGTGGTAATCCTGACTGAAAAATATTTCCCCGGGACAATTTATATATATCCGTAACTCTGAAGCAAGTATTTGGAAATGGGGGGGGGGGGGGTGGGAAACTGCAAATAATCCTAGCACTGACGATTTTTCAACAACAGAAACGGGGGCTGGGATATTGATAGTCTGGTGGCGAAATCTGTATAACTTTCCAGTACACTTGTAAAGACACGGATATCAAAGAGTCCACTTCATCTAAACCCACACAGACTTTTAAACACATCGCGTTACTAAATCACACAATTACAGGAAGTCAGCTTTATTCCCGTCACCCACATTCCTTACACAGAACCTGAGAAGTTTCAAAACCCAACTTTCCTACGTTCGGGCTCGCAGTTGCCAAAGCTGTCCATTCCATGAACTATCCATTCAGAGAAGTTTCATCTCATTCTTTTGGGACACCGGAACTCGCTAGTTCGCGAGAGTTCTGCATTGTCTAACCGTATTTTTTTTTTTTTTAAGAATAAAGGACAAAAATACCTCCGATTTCAGCGCACAAGGTTTACCTAGCCTTTTCTTTTAAAAAAAAAAAGTCAGAAGGAATGGAAAAGGCGTCCTCTCGCCAGCAACAGGTAGGGGAATGAGAAGCACTTTACTCCCATCATTCCCTGATCAGCTCAGAGGAACCAGGAGAGCGAAATCAACTGCACACACCCAACCCCGCGGGCCAACCAGTCAACTACGGCAGCCGCCCGCTCACAGCAGCCGCAGAGGCCAGCCGACCAGGCTCTGCACTTCGGCGGCCCTCAGTCCGAGGGAAGCCCTAGCTCAAGGAGGTGCGACATTCCAACCCCCCGGGCAGAGAGCACCGACACAGTCCTCGTCCCCCGCCCCCCACCCTGAGGAAGCGCTGAGAAAGCAGCCAGCGCCAGGCCGGCCTGTATCCGCCCTGCCCGGCCAGCCCCCCTCCCTAACGCCGTCACACGCCCCCGAATCCACCGGGGCAACGACTCACCCAGCCCCTCAAGGCAGAGGAAGCCCAGGGCAACGGGGGGCGGCGCCACCCCAGAGAGCAAGACAAGCGCGGCAGCTAAGGCAGGTCTCCAGCTCTTGGACCCTCCTCCTTCACCCAGCGGCTGCGAACACCAGCGCTCCTCCAGAGTCGGTGCCGCTGCTCCGCTGCTCCCCTCCCCGGCTTCTGTGAAACTTTACCGGGTACCTCAGAGAAAAGCAGCAGTCACCGCTGTCCAGTCCAGAGACAGCCGTCAGCGACCCGGGTGGAGCGGGAGGGGAAGGACAGGAGGCAAGCGGGGCGGAGAGCGTAAGGGGTGGGGAGAGTTGGGGAAGAGACTGGGGAGGTGAAGGGAGAGGGGGAAGGTAGCTCGCGGGGAGGGAGGGGGAGGGGCAGGCCGGAAGTGAGCCATGGAGCACGCGCGCGAGCCCGCCCACTTCCCGGCCCGCGCGCCTGCGCCGGAATCCTCCCAGGGCCAATCGACCCTGGCGCTTGCGCAGTGTGTCTCTGCGTTGCTCTGAGAGAAAAATGTCGAATACAGAAGTTGGGGTTTGCGAAGGCGAGTTGGGGTGTTTGTCATGTCTTGTAACAAGGCTTCTGCGCTCAGGAGGGCCTTTTAGTGAAGAAAATCTCTTTCGTTTTCTGGTTTGGTTGTCTTTCTGCTCCTAGGTTCCAGTCTATTATTTCTGCCTTTTTCCAAGAAGAATTTGAAATATACGATAAACATCACATATACTTAAAAAAGGCGGGTGAAGCCTTTTATTTTACCCTTACCCTCAACTGGAACTAATCTGAGGATGCCAGGTGTGTTCGTAGCTATGACTGAACCTACTGGCATTAAATATCAGCAACACCAGTTCGGGCTCCTGGTGAAGTGATGGGTGCACTTTTCTGCACTCTCCCTGAAAGATAAACTTACAGAGAAGGGCTTCTACAGACAAAATTCAGCAGTGCATGTGACCAGAGTCCCTGCTTCATAAAAACGAAATCTGGCTTTTTTCAATCTCTTTTTCAATCTCTTAAAAAGGAGGAAAAGTTGAAACAAGACACTCTAGAAATTTTGTTGGACTTTGCTAGAACCTGTAAATTTGGCGTGAAGTTGAATTCAGGAAGAATCCCACAATAAGCCATTTTTTTTTATCTCATTCAAAAATATATTTCAGATTAGGAAGTGTCTGTGCTAGAATATGTATATGCATTATTTTCTTAGGGCCACTACAACAAAATATCAATTGGATGGCTTAAAACAACAAATTTATTGTCTCATAGTTACAGAGCCCAGAAGTTACAAATCATTGTGGCAGCAGGATTAGTTCTCTCTTGATGTCTCAGAAGAGAATGTTTGCCATACGTTTTTAGCTTCTGGTGGTTGTTGACAATCCTTGGTATTTCTTGGTTTATAGATACATCACTCTAATCTCTGCCTCCATCTCTGCCAACACCATGGCGTTTTTCCTGGTGTGTTTGTGTCCAAATTTTCCTCTTATAAGGACCCCATTCATTGGGTTAAGGCCCACCCTGCTCCATTATGACCTATTTTTAACTGGATTACATCTGCAAAGACCCTCTTTCCAGATAAGGTCACATTTTCAGATACTGGAATTTCAGATTTAACCGTATCTCTTTGGAGGATCCAGTTCAACCCAACACAGTATGTTATAGAAACAAGTATACGTGCTCGCTTCGGCAGCACATATACTAGAAACAAGTATAAAAATGACAAGATACTCAAGCAAAGAAAACATAATTTCAATATTGGGAGGGGTGGGGATACTAACAAAACATACTTTATTCTTCTTATTCTTTGCCTTTTAGACTTTGGTCGTCTTTTAACCTTAAGGACTTGATGTCTCAGTATATTACTAAAAGGGAAGTTATGGGATCTGGGATCTTTAAGATATGTATTTGACATTGCAAGTAAAATTTGAGTGGTGTACCATAATTGAAGTATATTTTCTTTTATTTTTTAACAGTCCACGTGAGTGTTCCTAATGACCGATGAAACTGATATTCCAGGAACTGTAAGAGATTGGAGGCACAGAGAGCCTCTTAAAACCCTTGTCAGGGAGATGCCACATACCACTTCTACACCAACAACATTTGCAAGAACGACACACACACCTACACTCAAGGGTACTGGGAAACGAAATACCTGTCTGAGTTCTCAGGTACTTCTTTAAACCATGGAAGAGAAAGCATGAATTAGGGGATAGCTATCTCTGCCACATGGATGCATCTCTGTATGGACTATTTTGTTTGGGGTTTTTTTTGTTGGTTTCTTCCTACACTTTTATTTGTTTACTTTTTAGTTAGTTTAAATCCTTGAGGGGTACACCATCACACGGATTCTGTGGCCAATGGCTTCAGAAGGTAGGAAGGTTACTTCGGAATTTGGCACGAACCATGCCACTGTTTCCATGAGTGTGAGTTACTTTTCCCCAGATGACTCTGGTTTTATTTAGTTTGCCACCAGGAGTCACTGCATTGTTCTTTGCTTAGTACACATAAGCACATCTCTTGCCTAGATAGAATTCAGCTTCATCTCAAGTATAAACACCGTCAGTTTTTAAGAAGAGCTGTGTGCTCCCTCTGGTTCTGGAGACCCCGCTTATAGCCAGCAAAAATGGCTTGTGACCACAGCCTTCCAGATGTATTTGTCGTTTCAGGAGTCCTGTTCCCAGCAGGCCTCCATAGGTTCCAAGATGGTGGAAAGAGAAAATGTATGGAATATTTTTAAAACTAGGTCTTGCTTGTTAGAAAGTGGAAAGAACATTTCTAGATGTATGTTTTAATCTTATAAATCTGTGAAACTGTGGTGCAAGATATTAAGAAAACAACCTGTGATTATCTTTAAGGTAAGACAAGTATAGGTTCAGAGTTATTAGGCTAATGTAAATTTGTTGTATAAAAGCAGCATTAGATTAATAAGTATGGCCTCTAGTGCTGGTTTCTCTGGATTCAGAGCCTGAAGCTATAGACCATCTCATACTTCTGTCTTCTATCCTCCCAAAGACACTTCCAGACATTTAGTAGTGGTCTATTTTACTGAAAATTACTTCTCAGTCACAATTTCTATAGATCGGGAATATTAATAATCCATACGTCACTGGGTTGTTGTGAGGATTTAATAAGATAACATGTGCAGTGCCTTGTACCTGGCAAGTGTTTTGAAAATACTAGCTTTTTTAAAAAATTTTTTGATGTTTATTTATTTTTGAGAAAGAGAAAGAGCCCAAGCAGGGAGGGGCAGAGAGAGGGAGACACAAAATCCAAAGCAGGCTCCAGGCTCTGAGCTGTCAACACAGAGCCCGTTGCAAGGCTCAAGCCCACGAACTGTGAGATTATGACCGGAGCCAAAGTCGGATGCTTGACCGACTGAGCCACCCAGGGGCCCTGAAAATATTAGTTTTTATTACTACTAAAACTGTTTCTCCTGAACTACAAGGAGTAAAACAACATTTGAGAAAGGATTTCTTCTCACCAATAATGATATAATTCCAAGTTTAAAAAAAAAGTAAAATACTTTTTACCTATTATATTATTTTCATTAAAAGAAATAATAATGCTCAGATGTTTGAGAGACCTCTAAAATAGGTATTCATTGTGTCCCAACATCCTGCTGTTGATGTTATTGGTAAAGCTTCGGGTCAATAGTAGGCTATTAGTAATTAAGTTTTGGGGAAGTCAGAGTTATACACAGATCTTCAACTCTGCTGGTGATCAACATCCCTAACCCCTGCATTGTTCAAGGGTCAGCTGTATTATATACATAGATATATAACTTTTGTCTTCTCTGCTATAATGAAAACTCTACAAAGTCAGGAGTTTTGTTTGCTTTACTTAGTGCTGTATTCCATATATCTTGAACAGTTCCTGGCCTACAGCATGTGCTCAAAAAAGTGTATTGAATTAATTAATTAATGGTGCTGGCAACATTGTAAATTATCACAACCTTTTAATAAATAAATTTGGCAGTAATGTTTCAAGAGCCAGTAAATTTGGAGGCATCTGGGTGGCTCAGTAGGATTAGCATCCAACTTTGGCTCAGGTCATGATCTCACTGTTCGAGCCCCATGTCAGGCTGTGTGCTGACAGCTTGGAGCCTGCTTCAGATTTTTTCTCCATCTCTCTTCCCTTCCCCTGCTTGAGCTCTGTCTCTGTCTCTCTCTCAAATATAAAATAAAACATTAAAAAAAAATTTTTTTTAACTGAAAACAAGCGCCTGGGTTGCTCAGTCTGTTAAGTGTCCAACTCTTGGTTTTAGCTCAGGCCATGATCTCATGGTTTGTGAAATCAAGCCTGGAGTCAGGCTCCACACTGACAACAGCACTCACAGCACAGATCTTGCTTGGGATTCCCTCTCTCTCCCTCTCTGTCTCTTTCAAAAATAAATAAATAAGTAAAAGTGAAAACAAAGGGAAGGATCAAGCCCTGTGTAGAGAGGGAAGAGAAAACACTCTAGGTGGAGGGAACAAAGTGAAGCCCTTGAGGCAGGAAAGAACTTGGCATTTTCCAGAAGTTGAATGAAAGTTAGTGTAGATGGAGTTCAGGAGCCTAGCGAGGTGTTTGGTGATAGGCAGTCAGAAGCTAGATCAAGTAGGTCATATTAAGGAGTATTAGTGCAGTTACTGCTCAAGGGGTTTAAGCCAGAAGAGGAGGCAACAATTATAAGTGTTAAAAAGATTACTTTTGCTGCTGGACTGGACGGGATTGCTAAAGTAGAGGAGGGTGAAATGGAGGAAGTTATTTAGGAGGCTTTTGCAGTAATGCAAATGGGAGGGAATAGTGGTGGGGATTGAGGTGGTTGTGATGGAGATAAAGTGAAGACAGATTCAAAACCTACTTTGGGGATGGGACTAACAGGGTTGTGACGGGTGGTTTGTAGGGGATCAGACAACGGGAAGAATGGTGTGCTGCTCACTGGTAGTTTTCTGACTTGAGGACATTTACAAATATGGGGGTGGCTGGTGAAGGAAGAGGAAAGACATGCCTTGACTAGGAAAAATTAAGTGTCCTGACCTTAAGTTTGAAAAATCAAGAGTGTGTTTCTGTATTCATTTGGTAGGGCTGCCATAACAAAATATCACAGACTGGTGGCATAAACAACAGAAAATTATTTTCCCTAAATTCTGGAGGCTAGAAGTCAGACAACAAGGTGTTGGCAGATTTGGTTTCTTCTGAGACCTGTCTCCTTGGTTTGCGATGACCCCCTTCTCCCTGGGTGATCATATGGCCATTACTTGGTCCATGTGCTCTCTGTGTCCTAGTCTCCTTATAAAGACACTGGTCATATTGGATTGGAGCTCACCCATTTACCTCACTTTAATTACTTCTTTAAGCCCTATC